ACACACACACACACACACACACACACACACACACACACACACACACACACACTAAACAACCCAATGTTCTGTGTCCAAGTAACTGCTACAAGGTCTGTACTTCCATAGGAACTTCAAGTCCTCGGAGGGTAGGTGAGAGGCAGGCTGAGGACCATAGCTGAGCCGGGGCAGAGTCCTGATGTACGATAAGCAGTGGTGCCTGTAGGTGCCCCCCTGACTCCAAAAGATTCTAGACAGGAGGTGCCAAGGCAAGTAGGCCCTCGCATACATGCAGCAAGCGGGCCCAGACATACATGCAGCAAGCGGGCCCAGACATGTGAGCAACAGTGAAAGTCTCGCAACAATTATTGATGAAAAAACATACTTTCACTTTTCTTTTTGTTTTATACCGTAAAGATCTGCGTGTTCAATAAAATGATTATCAGAAGTGTTACTTTTCGGGACTCGGTTTTATCACAATGGGGCGTATTTATAGACGATTCTCGGAGCCGTTCATGAGATGGTTACGCACACTGGAGGGAAATACGAATGTTGTTATTTATATTTTCTTTCTGCATTGAATGTAATACCGAACTACGGCCACTAGATGGAGCTGAGAACAGCACATTCCTTTCTTGTGCTCCTCAGCGCCACCTAGTGGCCATATGGGGGTATCTGTCAAACATTACATTCGACCTGGAAGGAAAATATAGAAGCGTTCTCCTTTCTGCCTCCGTTCTCACATATCTACGTGCCGTGTGACAGGATGAGCGGCTCCGGGGATGTCAGATGAGGGATCGGGCCCCGCACAGCTCTCTATGATTATGTACAGCAGGGGGGTGTCAGATGAGGGATCGGGCCCCGCACCGCTCTCTATGATTATGTACAGCGGGGGGATGTCAGATGAGGGATCGGGCCCCGCACAGCTCTCTATGATTATGTACAGCGGGGGGGATGTCAGATGAGGGACCGGGCCCCGCACAGCTCTCTATGATTATGTACAGCGGGGGGATGTCAGATGAGGGATCGGGCCCCGCACAGCTCTCTATGATTATGTACAGCAGGGGGGTGTCAGATGAGGGATCGGGCCCCGCACAGCTCTCTATGATTATGTACAGCAGGGGGATGTCAGATGAGGAATCGGGCCCCGCACAGCTCTCTATGATTATGTACAGCAGGGGGGTGTCAGATGAGGGATCGGGCCCCGCACAGCTCTCTATGATTATGTACAGCGGGGGGGATGTCAGATGAGGGACCGGGCCCCGCACAGCTCTCTATGATTATGTACAGCGGGGGGATGTCAGATGAGGGATCGGGCCCCGCACAGCTCTCTATGATTATGTACAGCGGGGGGATGTCAGATGAGGGATCGGGCCCCGCACAGCTCTCTATGATTATGTACAGCAGGGGGATGTCAGATGAGGAATCGGGCCCCGCACAGCTCTCTATGATTATGTACAGCAGGGGGGTGTCAGATGAGGGATCGGGCCCCGCACAGCTCTCTATGATTATGTACAGCAGGGGGGTGTCAGATGAGGGATCGGGCCCCGCACAGCTCTCTATGATTATGTACAGCAGGGGGGTGTCAGATGAGGGATCGGGCCCCGCACAGCTCTCTATGATTATGTACAGCAGGGGGATCTCAGATGAGGGATCGGGCCCCGCACAGCTCTCTGTTCATCTCTATGATTATGTACAGCAGGGGGGAGAACTGAACACAGCCGGGGGCCGGAAGTACCCGTACAGCCCGGATCCCCGGCCAGCAACTTGTGACCCACCCACAGTGAGCCCAGCATGTCATGGACCCTTCCCGTGGGGGCGGGTTATCGTGCCGGCCGGGACCCCGCAGGAGGATTGGGCGGAGGTCGGTGCCGATGTCACTGCATGAGCGTCATTTCTTGCAGCGTTGAGGACACAAGGAGGTCACATGACCCGCCAGAAATCACCTCGAATATAGGGCATAAAACATAAATAGGGAGCGGGGG